TCTATCTATCATCTATCTATCTATATCTATCTATCATCTATCTATCTCTTATGAGGATTATTTCAATTACAGAGTCCATTCTGTAGGATTTAATGTGACAAGACCAGAAGGAGAACTTGGGAAATATAAGTCAATTCCTCATCACCACAGAGGAGAAGTTCAGTTTTTAGGACGGTGAGAATAAAAATGTTGAAATAAGTTTTTATTTTTGCTATAATATTGTGCTTCAGGTAGTTAAACATAGTCATTTATTTGTATGCAACACTTTAGCATTCAAAATATTTCTTAAAAATTCCATTATTCCTAGTTTATAAATGATGAATTCTCTCTGTCTTGAATACTGTATTTAGTGTGATAGAATACCCTTATGATTCAGGAACATTTGTAATAAATAGTTGTAAAAGAAATTAGGTCGTACAAGCAATATGTAGTTTCTGCAGAATGGTAAAGGAAAGGTAAATTATAAAATATGTGACATCATGTTCTGACACAAATTCTTGCTACTTATCTATTTATGTCATTATATTACATGCAAGTATATACGGGATAGCCCATTTAATATCATCTCAATAAATTTTCAGCTTGCTGCACATAACAACAATAACAACAATTATTAAACTTGTACACAGCATTTTCTAACATGATACCTTTCAACTCTGCTTGCTTAAAGCAATGTTTTTGCTGAATACTTTGCAAGAAATCCAGTGTTTTTTGTAGAATGTTTGTTGTGTTCAGTTTGAGTTCAAAACTATTTATTTATTTTTAAATTTTATTGGCTGTCATCTTAGTAACTCTGGGTGACTTACAATATTAAAAAAGATAAAATTATATAAAACCTATAGATGATTTAAATAAGATGCTATAAAGAACTGCTTTCATTCTGAAGCTGAAAATATTTTGTTCTGTATAATGACAATGACTTTCTACATTTTAACCAATGCTCTGAATATTTTTTCCCCACAGATACAAACTATTAAGATATTCCCGAGAGCGTCAGTTTATTGATGGTTTAAATAATCTAGTATATATGCCATCTATATTTGCCAATAAACTGTACACTAATATCACTGTAAACCTGGTGCCAGAACTAGCTCCTGTTCAAGATTATTGATGGCATAGTAGAATACACTACTGGTTCTACATTTTGTAATACTGGAAAAATACTAAATCAGGTATTTCAAATGACTGCACAATCATGTGTCAATTAGTGAATGCTTCACATTAAGAAACCAATAAGTACTCAAGCATTGTTAGCTTTTCTGTAGATAATAAATACAGCATGCTTAGAAATCAGGGAAATTCTTTTCTCTAAAAAAGCGTGCATTCAATGAATTAGAATTATTTTTTTAATGTTTTCCATATCATGTAAATATCTGTTAAAAATATTAGGCTTTTGACTATGGCAACATTCTGCATGTTTTGGAAGTATTTGTGTTTAGTATTTCTAGAATTTAGGCATGAAATGTAAGCAATTAAATCTAGACAAAAATTTTGAATGATTTATAGGCTGATTTATAAATACTGGCTACTGTTATAATAAACTTTTATGCTTATTTTGAGCTACAACACTTCTGTGTAACATCTATACCTGTGATTTTGCCACCAAACCTATGATAAATAAACTTTCAATCTTATTCTAATACGAGGGCAGTTCCATGAATATGCTTGAAGGAATATTATTTATGCATATTCCATGCATAGAAACTCATCTATGATATTGCATTTCATTGTAGTTCTTAATGTACCAGTAGTGTTAATGTCAGATTTATAGTTAGTCTATTTTCATATTGCTCTTTTGTGAATTTTTGTAATAATCAACATCATTCCATCCAAAATCAAAAGACCAATGAATTAGAAGATAAATGAATGTTAATGGGAGGAAGTGATGGAGTAAAATCTTCATATGAGTAACAAGGGGAATGTTCAGAGTAATTGTCATTGGTTAATTTTTTTTCTTATTGAAAGTCATTGGCACTGGAGTCAACCTGAGTAGAAATGTGTTGAAACTTATTTTAAACCAATTGTCTTCAGTGTTAAAAGTTTTCCATTCCTTTGTAAACAGTGCACTTTCTGCAACAAGCTAAGATTCTTATTTCTATGACTTCAACATGGGGTGAACCTGCCGACTATTTTACAAAGTTATTTTGTTCTTGTTGTTCCCAGTACAAAACTTAGCTATGTCTCATTCTAGTTTTTATTGGACTGGATGATGATTGACATATAGCATCCTTTTTTGAGTACTCTTCTTTGAATACTTTACAGAGTGAATCACTCTGTTCTAATACAGGCATTTCAATGTTGAATGTAATTATGAACCAAGATTAAACATTTGAGAACCAAAGAATTACTTCTTTTTCCTTTCAGAATGGAAAAATTCATTGCTCAACATCTAAAAAAGAGTAAAATGGATTCAGATGTAATTTACATTTTGGATTAGTTCTGTCAGTGTCTTGCAGTTGTTTGGGATAAAAATTACTTTGTTTCCTCTTTATACAGCATCAGCATAAGAACTGATTGTTGGCTTCTCATTCAATATAAAAAGTGATGTCTATCATTCCAAATAATTTCTAATTTTAAGATATTAAAATGGAACAAAGTAGCTCATAAATACATAATTTTGACAAAATTACATGAATCAAGCATGCCAAAAAAAATTCTTAACCTTTAAATCTAGATACTATATTCTATACACTTTTTCTCAATTCCCAGTTAGTAGATTTTTGCAAAGCTAAACATGGTATTTATAATACCCTGTCCTAATTTGGTTCTGTATGATGACATGGTTTGAATCGAATGCCAACTTGATACATAATCTTCATAAAAACTGTGTACGGGGTATGTATGTTTGCATACACTTTAAAATTATATTTTTAACCTTCCAGGAAAGAAAAACGATAACTTTTCTGCTCAATTATACCATTCTATAATAGATCTTTATATGCCCTGATAGTTTAAATTAGTTTGTACTTGGAGCTGGGAGTCATTTACTTTCTTTGTGACCTCTAATGCAGAACCATTGACAGCCTGGTTTTGTTCTCTGGTTTTAGCAGAAATGCCCTCTACTGTAGAATAGATTTGTCATGAGTAAGACATGTCAGTTGAAACACTAAAAATCATGTAAATAATGAAGGCCTAGTAAGTGGTTGCGTCCTACTGATCTAGTCTAAGCACAGTCCTCAGTTTAGAGCAAGTCCTGATTAATACTTAGGTGGGAAAGCTCTAATCCGAAAAGAAGGCAATAGCAAATCACATTTTTACAGATAGTCCTCACTTACAGATTGCAATTGGGACAGGTAACACCATTGCTAAACTGTATTATCATGAAGTGAAAAATCACACTGACTGAGCTTGACATACAACAGCATCTTGTCAATTCCAGCTATGGTTATTATGTAAATCACATACAATCATTAAGCACGATGTCACATGACATGACTGTGACTTCTTGCTGGCTTCTCCATTGTTTGTCAGAAGCTAACAAGGCAGGTTGCAAACGGGTGTCCCATGACAATGGACACTGTGACCATCGTACATGCAGGCCAGTTGCCAAACAGAAATTACAATCAGGTGACTTTGGGGAGTTGTAACAGTTGCAACTTTGAGGATTGGTCTTAAGTTTCATTATTTAACACCGTTGTAACTTTGAAAGGTCACTGAACAATTGGTGCTTCTATGAAAAGTACGTGAGTTTGTTGATGAAATCACTAGTTGCTAAAATTCAGCTTGGAGAACTTGCTTGCATGAAAATCTTAATTTTTGGATTTTTCTTTCGTTCCCCTGACACAATATTTTAGGTTGAAATGAGCATTTGTCATATCTGTAGTATTATTTTTTTGTCTTCAGTTTTAGGTCCGGTTCTTCAATTGAGCGAAATGTTGTTTGATATTTATATGTAAATGAGAAAAATGCTACTCATACATATAAGGCAAAGTGTACTTAATCTGATCTTATTTTTTCAGGTGAAAGAAGCATATTAAATGTATTAACAAGATCTGAGTACTGTACAGAATTATGCTATCACTTACAATGTTGCTCATTAAAATATTTATACTTTTTAAATCCCTTTGTTTGTTTGTTTAAATATAGTGTGCTACAGACTATGGTTTTGTTTACCTCTAATCTTTGGGGTTCTTGGGATAGGACTCTTGAGAAAATATGATGGGTGCTATGGCAGAACGGCTGCCATAGAGATGAAAGTTAACAAAAGGAATCCTATGCATATAACTGTGGGTTCAGAGAAAGGGAACTGGCACAAGAATGCAAAGTAGAGATTAGGTTTGAATCTCAGAACATGAAATCCTTCTTCAGAAGTCACTGTTTCAATAAAACCCATTTCATGGGGAAATCAATTGATGAAGTTAAATGCCAAGAAATGTATCCCAGAATTTGGCTTGAAGGTGGAAAGGGTAGCCTAAGTCTTTAATCACAGACCCACAGGTCTTCCATTCAGGACCACTAGTTCAAATACAAATGACTTTTGGATGCACTTTTTTTGCCATTTTCTGTTTTCATTCCATAGTCTTTCAATCTCCCATACTTTGTACCATCCTTTGCATAATATTATATTAGCATCTTTCTATTTCTGGATTTTCCATCTGGTCCCCCTCTCTTGTTATGTTGTGTCTCGCTCATCTTGCTTTTATCAAGCGAACAATAATTTCTCTCCTGAAAGTACACGACTAATCTCAAATCACTTATTGCCTTATTTTTAATCAATCTTGAAGCCAGCACAGCACAAGGTGCTCATTTAAGTAGTAATGAATGCCTTGGCTGTGCTGGCTTCAAGGTTGATTTAAAAAGTCAGACACACTGGAAGGTCACCAAGTTGGAAAATGCTGTGCTATACCTAAAGATATTTCTTCTCTTCTTTCCAGATAAATGTTAGTTACACTGTGCCATTGGCTCTGCTTCCTCCAGATAAACTTACTACTTGGCTGAGAACAGGACAAATTCTAAACAGATATAAAGCAATCACAATTGTTCACAAATTGGTGCTTGATTGAATGTCTTAGAAAAGGGGTGTAAGCTCTCATTGTCATGGTGTTGTCATGTGACATATCAGGACTTTCCCCCCCTTCGCTAAATTGGGTGGGATGGGGCCACCACGTGATGCATCTGGCCCGCCGGCCGCGAGTTTGACACCCCTGTCTTAGAGCCTACTGTTGAATACAACATAGAAAAAAAAGTATTTCATGTTTCTTTAAACAGAACTGTATTGTATTTGTTGCACATTACGCAAGTATTTAGAGAACATTTATTGATGCATTAAAAAAATAGCTAAGCAGTAGCAGTTACATGCCATTGCAGGAAACAAGCCATTGATAGTGCAAATTAACTACCTCCTTTAAAACATTGCTACAATAGTGTAATAGAATTTTGAATGAATTATGCATGGTCTTATTCCTTTGGGTCACTGACAACAGCTGTAGTTGAATAAGAAAAAGGACTAAGAAGAGCTGCAATAGTGTAATGACGATGACCAGAATCATTAGCAGTAAAAACCACCTGTTTAAAAAAAAGAAAAGAAAACCAGTTTGGGAGTGTTTTTAGTTAACACAGTGATCTGATAGAGAGCAATGCTAAAGTGAAAAGATTGGCATTTAAGAAAATTGATAATTTTCTTTCATTCTGAAATTTTAACTTTACTTTTTTTTTTTTTTTACTAAAAATAATTAAAACTTACCACACTTTTAAATCCAGCTGGACATGGAGATTGGGTCAATGCAGACACATATGCATGTATGAAAGCATACACATTTAATGAATATTATGAATCTTTGATACTTTTGAATAAATATAGATGGTCTTAAAGTTATCAAACACTTCAATTTATATTTGTTCCCTCCCCAAATAAATATACCAGTAATAGCAGGAATTATTGGATCAAACTGCGCCATAATTTTTGGGAATTAAATGTTAGGGCAAAAACATTTTTTTTGCCAGTGGTTTATCTGAGATTTTAATGTTTTCAAATACTCACATCAGCATACTCATGAAATGGGGAAATGCCAAGTTCCTTCCAGTACACGCTAGTGTCAAATTCCACTTTGTACAAGCCTTCTATAAACAATTCATCAGTTGTAAGTTCATGGATTTCTCCAAATTCATTTGTTTTCCTTAAATTAATATTTAAGAGTGACACAGTCAATAGCTTTATTCAGAACAAATAGCATATTGTTTTATTCTGAACATGGGATGGATTCAGAGTTAGTCATATTTAAAACATACACATTGAAAAGAATGGGACTCCCACCAAAATTGCCAATGATCCAAAGTTGCTAGCTTCTGGACAATTAACTTGTTTTTAATTAATGGGGAAACCAAATATACAGGGACTAATTCTATATGTGGATGTTCATAATGTTTTGGAGCTGAGGCTAAGGAAAATTTTAAAAATCTTGTCAGTTAATCAGACGTGCTCATATTACAATAATATACGGTTTGTTCTATGCCCAACCACCTGGTAGCAAAGCATATTGATTCCAATGAGATTTATTTCCAAATAGGTATATCAGGCTTTGATATTAGTTCACACTGTGCTTTCTGCATCCATTCAAATCAAGGAAATATAGCATGCTCAATGGATTCTACCCAACACTTTTCATGTGGTCTTACCCACTGGAAAACTCCTTCCAAGTCCCATCTTCACCCTTTTTGAATACTTTTACTGGGAGGCTGGTAGCTGGAGTTCCTCGAACTGCATCAAGGACTTTCACCATCAGAGGACACTTTGAATCAGAAGAACTATGGGATTCCTTGATACAGCAAAATATATTTCTATTAGAATTTTGGTAGGGTAGAGTCTGTTTTGTGAACAATAGACTTTGCTTTACTCGTGCACTTTCAAATGATTTATTTTGGTACTGGTAGTGCTATTGGGTAAGCCCTAGTTTGAGCTAAGAATACGTGACACTTATATTAGCATAGAAATAGAATGCAACTTTTGAGATATTGAGATATTGTTTATAAAGTGATACTTAGAACGTATGCAGGCACAGATATACAAAACCCTGATGAAAGTTTTTTTCATATCTCCTCTGAACTGAAATACTGCCCCCCCATGCTAATTCTGCCACAGAACTATTAACATTCATTCTATCCAATGTTCTAGATGTTACAAAAACCACACAGTGAACAAGGTACACTTATTGATAGTCAAGATTTCCCAGTTTCTTGTACCTACAAGTCAATCTAATTTTATTGTACTGAGATAGAAATGAAATGTAATCATTTCACAAATTTATCTGTGGAATTTGATTCAATATGCAAGACATTCATCTCTGTGCCAACATCTTAAATCCTTTTAATTAAACTAAAAAAGTTCTAAAAATGTATAAAAGAAAAAACACATTTCATACATTAAGTTGGTTTTTTTTTTTTTAAGCCTCTGACTATTTTAGTAATTTGAAAGAAATTTATGCCTAAAATACTTTGGATAAAAATGCAATGATCAAAAGATAGAATTGATGCCATGGATTTTCCTACAGCAATTGTTTCATAATACTTACAAACAAAGGCAAAGGTGCCACTTAAAGAATACTTACCACTGGTGCAGCTTCAATAAGATATCCCATGGTAGCCAAGCAAAAGAAAAGCAGAGAAGCAGGAGCCATTGTGTACACAAATAAAGAGACTCTACCAGCAGCTACAGGTTAGTGGGATTTAGATTTTTATACTGAACCCTCGAACAAAACAGGCTACTTATCAGGTGCCTGTATGACTTGAAACCTGCTGATTCTGCTTATTTACTTAGCAAGCATCCCGCTGTGCAAAGCTTCCATCCAGTGGCCTCTTGCTGAAAGCTGTAGAATCACACTAGATAGGTGGAAGGAAGGACTACACAGGTGTTGGGAATGAGAGAATCAGTAACCTACACAAACATGAACCTTGCCTATTGGGCTTACTTTGTTAGCATAAGCATAAAAGAAATATGTTAAGCAACTGATGTCTGCCTAGATTTTACTGACTCCAGCAAGCACAATGTGAGCCTGTGGGCATCTCTGTGACGTTCACTCAACTAAAAAAATTCTATGATTTGTTTGGGTTGCATCCACTTTAGACTTTGGAGTTAAATTGCTCCTGGGTTGCTTTCCGACACACTGCTCATATTTGATATAGGCAAGTAGCTTGTATTGCAAGAGATGATACTTTTCAAAGCAACTGATACTTTTCTGCATATACCATTGGCTGTGAAAACCCTGTAGAATTTTCATTCCACTCCCCAGTGATCAACTGATATCTCTTCTAAATTAAAAATTTGTTTCTTTGCCCCATTAGCTTTTAACAATAGATTGATGTACAGATGCTAATAAATATAGTAAGGAGCTGATTATGTTGATAAATCATGTTCAATTTGATATCATCCAAATACATTGGGATTAAAGCTCCCAATCTTCTTCTTCTTCTTCTTCTTCTTCTTCTTCTTCTTCTTCTTCTTC